TCTGCTAGTGATATGTTTGGTTGCTGTTAACACAGAAACTCACAAATCTCAGTTTTTCAACTCCATAAATATTTTTCTCTCAGGCAAGATCTAATACAGCTTTCCTTTTTTTTTTTCTTCCTTTTTTAAAGATTTTTTTTTTTTTTAATTTACTCATGAGAGACGAGAAAAGGCAGAGGGAGAAGCAGGCTCCATGCAGGGAGCCCAACGTGGGACTCAAGGATCATGCCCTGGGCCAAAGGTGGTGCTAAACCACTGAGCTACCCAGGGTGCCCTAGTGAAGGTTTTCTGATTGGTCTTTGCATGGCTGCCAAGGGACCGTCGTGTGGCTCCCGAGTCTGGGGTCATGGAGTCCTCTGCTGGTCCTCGGCATTTTGAGAGAAAAAAAGAGAGAAACTTTCATGGGAGGTTTTCCTGGGTCAAGCCTCAAGGTTGTAAACTGTTGTGTTACAATTCTTCCACTGTCCATTGTTTAGATCTTAGCCATATGGCCATCCCTAGTTTGCAAGGGAGCCTAGCAAATGTCATTTAGATTGAATTTTTGTGTTCCTCTCAATTCCTAATGCTCAGTGTGATTGTATCTGGAGGTGAGGACTTTGAAGGTGAACAGTTTGAGACCTCATGAACGGAATTAGTGTCTTTATAAGAGACCCTAGAGAGCTCCCTGGCCCCCTCTGCTATGTGAGGACACAGCCAGACCAAACCTGCCAGCGCCTCAGTCTTGGACTCACTAGCCTCCAGAAACTGTGAGAAATAAATGTTTATTGTTTAAACCCCCCAGTCCGTAGCATCTTTGCTACAGCTGCCCAAGTGCAAAGGCCCTGAGGTGGGACCAGCCTGTGGTTTAAGGATCCGGTAACTCCTGGGGAGATGAACTGATTCTGCCAACAAAAGATACCTCTTCCAACTAATAGAAGAGGGAACACAATTGATGACTTGTTTAAACATTATCATTATCACCTTTACACGAGTATAAGGTAGCACACCAGTGACTACGAAGTCTGGAAAGAATTCTCACAAATTTAGACAGTTAAAGGTAATTTATCCAGTAAAATGTATCTGCTGGAAGTTCTATTTCCCTGAGAGACAAAGCATGCACCTTGTATCTTTTGTATACCTGGTGAGAGACTCCTGAGTTGATTTCAGTGGTATGTATCTACAGCCAAGGGCCAGACCTTGCATTGTAAAGTCAAGAAGTATGACGTCATAGCGAACAGACTATGTTTTTAAGGAGGGAGGGTGAAGAGGACACTGCTTCCCTCCTCAAAGCGACTTTCATGATTTTTCCCTTATGGAGGCCAGTGTGCCTGGGACAGAGCACAGAGGAGAACGGGGGTAGGGTCGGCAGGGCACCAATCTTACCCACAACACAGACACCAGTGGTCATTTTTCTGCACCCAAAGGGGGACAGTGACAAGTCATGTTGCACCTCTGCGGCTGTCTTTACTAACCTCCAGTTTCTCCTTATGTCTGCCCCTGTGCCTTTCTCTTTTAATTACTTTTGTAGTTACTTTTTTGTTGTGGTGAAATAGATATAACCTAAGTTGCCATTTTAACAATTTTTTTTTCATTTTAACAATTTTTAAGAGTCAATTGAGTGGTATGAAGTGCAGTGGCATTGTTGTGAAAGCATCACCACCATCCATCTCCAGAACTTTTTCATCACCTTAAACTGAAACTCTGTCCCCTTTAAACAAGAACTCCCCATACCCCCTCCTCCCAGAGCCTGGCAACCACCAGTCTACCTTCTGTTTCTGAATTGGACTATTTTAGGCACCCCCAGGTAAGTGGAATCCTACGATATGATATAATATCACAAGTACTTTCTGTCCGAGTCCCTGCTTTCAACCCTTTTTTTTTTTTTTTTTTTTTTTTTTTTTGCTTTCAACCCTTTTGACTATATACCTACAAGTGAAATTTTTGGATCATATGGAAATTCTACACTTAATTTTTTGAGGAAACACCATACTGTTTTCCACAGTGGTTGCATCATTGTACATTCTTACCAGCAATGCATTAGAGTTCCAATTTGTCCATATTTTGCCAACACCTGTTATTTGTTTTTTCTTTTTTGGTAATAACCACCATAACAGTGTAAATCTTTTCATTAGGTTTTAGACACACATAATTACATTTGACCTCTGTTTTCTACCCCAAACACAAATTTATGTCAGCACTGCAGGAGCAGTCTGAACCTTGGCCTACCTAGCAGAGTGGAAGAGGCTTGAGGGTGGCCCATTGTGGGAATCAAGAGAGAACCTGGCCAAGATGGAAGACCTCTTGGAGGAGGTGGTGGCAGACCAGGGTCTGTGTTCAGGTGAGTAGTCAGAAGGGGGTTCCACAAAAATTTCAGCAACGTATCTGTCAAAGAGGGTGTGAGGATCTCAGTAGTGAGATGTGGGACAGGATCAAAGACATTTGGAGACCAGAGGAGCTACTGATACGGTAGGAATCTGTCAGCAGGTGGGTGATAGTGGGCAGGGGATGGTCTGACTCAAACCAAAGGGCTTATTCCTGGAGTCCCTTTCTTTAGCTCTCCAGGACCAGAGCCAAGTTTCTGGAACTAGGAAGAAACAGAAGATGGACGCAAAGACAAAGCCAGCTATCAGAAACATGGTTCAAGATCAAGATAAACAGGGTGATTTGGTGCTAAGATGTGGGCTCTGAGGGATCCTGAAAACTCACTTGCTGGAGCTTCAGATTGGAATAGGGTAACTAGTAAAACCAAGTCTGCAAGGCCTGGGATCATGGGCTCTGGCTCTGGGAGAGAAAAGATTCCCCAGGCAGCAATGTCAGGCAAGGAGGGAGAGAGGTAACCTGGTGCTCTGGGAACTTGTGAGAATGAATGACCATTGAATTTTAAAGTATTATTCCAAACTGCTCTGATATTAGCCACAGTTGATTTTAAATGACAGGGCAGAAATCAGCTGTGCTGTGAATTTTCATTAGACATCAACTGAAACAAATGAAGAAAAGAAAGTTCTATGAGTTGAAGTGTTTCACCGAACTTTAATTTAAATTTCAGTTGCTGTTTTGAGGTGACGTTGGTCTGGGTGTCCCTCTGTAGCCCTGCTTTGTCAATGCCTGTCTGATTTTAGCTCTAACCTGGGATGATAGCCATTTTTACTATTTTTTTTTAAATTTTAGTTATTAAGAAAAAAAACAATAGTTCTAACATTTGAGATAAGGCAGTTCATTTAATTCTGTTTGATAACAGCAAACTCAAAATCTGTGGAGGAAACTAACAATTGACAAATGTAAATTTTGTCACAGTCTCTGCCAAACTAGGCTGGCATTATGTGCACATGCTTTTAAGAATTTCAGCAAACCTTAGGGGCATTTGGCTGGTTTGGTTGGTGGAGTGTGTGGCTCTTAGTCTTGGGTTGGTGAGTCTGAGCCCCATATTGGACGTAGAAATTACTCAAAAGAATTTCAGCAAGCTTTATAGTGACAGCAATTATACTAACTTGTTTACCTACTTGTTTAATAACCTCTGCACAAAAATAATAATAATAATAATAATAATAATAATAACCTCTGCACCTACCATGGGGTTTAAACCCAACAACCCACAGATCATTTATCACATACTCTTTCTGCTGAGCCATACAGTCACCCACCCACTTACTCACCTTTATTGAGAGCTTATTGTGTGCCAGGCAAGCATTATTCTAGACATATATAAACTCATATGAACACATATTAATGAATATAATATAAACTCATTAGAACACATTATATTTATCAATGCCATCCTGGGAGGCAGGCACTCCTATCATTATCCCCATTTTATAGGAAGGTGAGGAAAGTATAGATTACAACTTTCTGCCAACAAGATCACACTGAATTCTCTGGCAGCAGCACACCTGGGATCCCATTCCTTTTTATAAGTGGCCTCAGATTCTACCAAACTTTTGGTGGTTTACTTTCTGAAAGCTGGGTTCATCTCACCTCTCGGCGCTGCTGGTTCCAGCACATCTCTCACCCAGGTCCCTAACCTCGTCCCACCCCGGGACAAAGTGACTACAAGCCACAGAACCTACTAAGGATAGTCTAGTACTAGCGAGGTCAAACACACACTCCTTCAATCCACTATCTATAGTCCTGTAGCAATTCCCAAGCCAAACCTGGGGCTCTGGACCGATTTTTTTCAAGATGAAGAAAGGGAAACTGATTTCCAGAGAAAGATGTGTCTGTTTTACAACAGTGGATCACTTTTCAGAATCTCCTTCTCTAGTAGGAATTCAAGGAGACTTTTCACCATTTGAACAGATGGTCTGCATGATTTCAGGTCTCCAAAAAAATTTCCCTGTGATTCAAAAGCCGGTCTTCAAGTCTCCAAAACCGGTCTTCAAGTCTCCTGGTCTCCAGGTCTCCAAACTGGCCTTTTCACCAGCCAAGCCACTGTGCCAGAATTATGTACCTGCTCACACAGAAAAAGATCCCTTGCTCTTTTCAGGGGCAGTTTGTAGTTGGGCGACCAGATCCTGGAGGACTCTAGCAGGCTGAAACCAACCGCGGGACCCCACATCTGAGCAGAGGCCCGGGAGCCACAAGTCGTTCCAGGCCGGTATGACACAGCCTGCTTGCCTGACTCACTAGTTAGAATCTATGCTCGGGAAATAAATCCAAAACCTGGTTACCCTGACTGGGGGGAGAGAGGACATGCAATTTTTCTTTGCTGTCTCCCCTACCTCCACTTCTCTCCAGAGTGACTACCCTTCACTATATTTTTAAAAAGATGAAAACAACAAAACTCCCCCAAACTTTTATTTTTTATTAATGTATATGGAGAAAACCAGGAATGAAATGGAATAGGAAGGACTGTAAATAGAAACTATTGGGTGGCAGAATCAGGGAGTGATCGGATGGACAGCATTTTGATGTAGAAGGTGGCAGCCAGACGATATGTCATATTCACCTGCATGGTCTTCACCACGTGCAGAAAATTAATTTCATGGATCATGTTGGCAGGTAAAGAAATGAGGTATGCCTGCAGAGACCTCTGTGGCGCAATGGTAGCGCGTCTGACTCCAGATCAGAAGGTTGCGTGTTCAAATCACGTCGGGGTCAGTAATTTTAGTGTCGGTGGAAGATTCTGGTCTGGGAAGTGAAATGGAGGAGGAAGAGGAAGGTGCCTGCCACACTTTCTCCCGCTTTGGCCTCCCTCATGAAAATGCCTTTAAAAAGTAAGTAACAGGCAGGCATACACAGGAATGTGTGATGTCAGTATTCTGTTTTTGGCTTTTTTGGGGGGCTCATAGAAACATTTTTACTCTTTTATTGCAACTGTTCTGAATTCCACTTTTCTCCAACTTGGCCATTATTATTCCAAACGCTCCTGGCTTCCTTTCCATGCTCACTCAGTGCTGGCAGACCCATCTCTTCATCCAGAAGTCTCTCTTTAACCTTTGGGATCTTAGCGGATCCTCTCAGACAACTAGTCTGCTTCTCCTAGTTGACCTTGGCTCCCCTGCTCCACATCTGGCTCATCTTTTCCATTCTAGAGAGTTCACATAGCAAGCCCACCCTTGGCTCTCTGGGATTCTCCACCACATCAAATCAAAGAAGAGTTCCATCCCTTTCCAAACACAGAAAACCTGAGCACAGTTTTGTTTGCCAATTGAGACTACAGGGAATGAGCCACGACATCAGAGAAAGTTAGCTTACCAGGCTAGAAGTTCTGTGAACCCTCTAAAACTCTATGTCAAGAATATGTGCAGGAATATGTGTCTTACTCTCACCTGGGGCTCTAGACTTTCGTCCCCCATCAACAGATTATGAACGATCCCATTACAGCATAGAAGAAAGGGAAAGCACATTTACTTCATCTATTCTATCATTTTGTAAAACATAGAATACATGACCTTTGGGATGTCAGCAGACATTGTGCTATAGATATAATGTACACATTCACATAGCACACAGTAACAGATGTCACATCTGATTAATGCCTTGTGCACTGTAGAAGCGTAGCCACAATAAGCTTTTTTCATTTCTTCTTAATCCTTCTCCTAGGAATTAAGTCAGGCTCAGTGCTATTGCATTAAAAAGATAAATTGCATTCCTGAAGGGAAAAAAGAGAACTCATTTTTTATTTCTACAGATTGAAAGGAAAAGGGGAAAAAAGAAAAAAAGGACAAACCAGAGGGGAATCAAATATGACCTATGGGAGTGCTACTTTCCATAGCAGAGTGGTGTAGCAGGAGCGTGCTGGGCCCATAACCCATCCTCTGCTGTGTTTAGTCCCTTTCCCCCAAAGCAAGCTGCATTTTAGCACAGGGAGCAAGAAAGAAAAGATTAATTTGTGTTACAGATCTTGTGAAAGGCTTGATTCTTTAAATTATGTAAAAAGTTTAGAAATAAAAACCTAACAAAATTTGCAAACCTGCCACCTATATCTCTTTGATGGTGTCTGATAAGCTCTTTGGTCCATTTTTTTAAACATATGAAAAGGTGCTCCAAATCATAGGTCAGGAAAGAAATGAAAATTTAAACAATGAGCTACCACTACGTACCTCTTAGAATGTCCAAAATCCAGATCAATTATATCAAATGCTGGCAAGGACGTGGAGTCACAGGAACTCTCATCATTGCTGGTGGGAATGCGAAATGTTACAGCCACCATGGAAGGCAAAATTAAACATAGTCTTACCATATAACACAGCAGTTACACTATTTGTTATTTGCCCAAAGGAGTTGAAATATATGTCCACACAAAAACTTGAGCACTGAGGTTTATAGCAGCGTATTCGTAATTGCCAAAACTTGGAAGCCACCAGGATGCCCTTCAGATGGTGAGTGGATTAATAAATTGTGGTCCATCCAGATAATGAAATATTATTCAGCATTAAAAAAAAAAAAGAGCTACCAAGCCATTAGAGGACTTGGAGAAAAACTTAAATGCATATTGCTAAGTAGAAGAAGTCAAGCTGAAAGTCTACATGATTCCAAATACGTGACATTCTGAAAAACCAAAACTATGGAGGCAGTATATGACCATTGATTGCCAGAGACTGGTGGGAGGAGGGAGGATAAATATGCAGAGCATAGAGAGCACAGAGGATGGGGGGTGGGAAGGTTAGTGAAAATACACTGTGTGAAATTATAAGAATGAATACATATCATTATACTTCTGTCCAAACCCACAGAACTATAACACCATGGGTGAACTGGAATGTACACTATAAACTGGGTGATGTGATTATGATGTGTCAAAGTAGGTTCATCAGTCATAACAAATGTACCACTCTGGTGGAGGATGTTGATAATGGGGGAAGCTGTGCATGTGGTATCTTCCTCTCAATTTTGCTGTGAAACCTAAAACTGCTCTGAAAAATTAAATCTTGAAAAAAAGACAGAAGAAAAGATTTAGTACTTAGAAATACTCTTTGTGAAACTCCCAATCTTTACTTTCAAGGGATGATGCATTTAAAAGGTTTTCCTTCTATTAAGTTTTTATCATCTAATGTGAAGACTAGTCAATTTTGAAAACAATCAATTCAATGATGCGATTTAAGGAAAATTTACATGTGTAAGAAAAGAGTAGTGAACTATATAGCTGGCCTCTGTATTATTAATATTTTTGGTCATTTTGTGTAAAATGATTTTACAAAAGAAATTTAAACATAAAAAAATTATATATATATAATCACAGTGGTCTAAGAAAGATGGAAATTGTGGACCTCAAAGAGGGTAACCAAAATAATGAGCCAGCCAGGAGTCAAACCTAGAATCTTCTGAATCGTAGTCAGATGTATTATCCATTGCGCCTCTGGCCCACACAGATATTATAATTTACACTTATAGGAAAAGGAAGTGGTGAAATTGCTATGTTGCTCTAAATATGAATGTGTGAAGTCTTTTCTTTCAACTTCCTTTGTCCCTCTTACCAGGATCTCCAACACCAAAACAAAAGAGTTCTATTGGTTCCTTAGCTTTAGTTCACTCATACAGTATGATTCCTTCATGGTCAATAAGAACTCCATTTTGATGTAACATCAAAAAAGTCTGAGGAATGGTTAATGTTTTTAAAAGTACGCTTAATTGAAGATGAATTACACTAAACAGAGAAAATGCAAATATGTAAAACACTACCCACCCCATAGTCAGCAAGATTTGAACCTGCACAGGAGGACCCCAGTGGATTTCTAGCCCATCTCCTTAACCACTCGGTCATAACTACAGCTGCTAGGAAGTGTTTTCTATCTCCTTAATGTTACCATATATTATGTATTCTAGGCTACTTCAGGATTAGTAATACAAGAGAGCAAAACAAAGGATCCCCATGAATGAAACTGGAGAGGAATCAACCAACTTCTCTTCTTGCAGATGATAAACTCAGAATGCTCTTTGGGTCTTTTCTAGATAGCAAATCAGCTATATGTTGCAATAATCCTCTTTAATTCCCTTTAAATAATCCTTTAAAAACCCTCATATTCTTGCTGAAGTAGGAAATTTATCCTCAATAAATAATCTGACAAAGATGTTCTCATAGATACCCTATGTCTTCAGGCACCGAATCCAGTGCCTGGAACAAGGGCTCAATGCAGTCAGCTGCTATTGTAAGCATCATTTTTAAATTCGAGAAAGTAGACCCATCAAAATGTTCCAGAGGGAAATGAACTAGGGGTGGTGGAGGGGGAGGAGGGCGGGGGGTGGGGGTGAATGGGTGACGGACACTGAGGGGGACACTTGACGGGATGAGCACTGGGTGTTATTCTGTATGTTGGTAAATTGAACACCAATAAAAATTAATTTATAAAATAAAAAAAAATGTTCCAGAGGGAATCCTATCTCCTGTTTCTTGGTAAAGCTCAAAATATTTTAAATCAGCTGACAGAATATTTTTAAATGAAACAGGGAAGTAGAAAATATTTCTGGAAGTCAAAGCCACTTCATTGCGTGGAGCCTTCTCTCACAAGGCAAGAACAGCTGTATCTGATACTCTGGGGACAATAGTTTAAAGGTGACTTCAAAGCAAGAAGAGATCCCCAGGATCTCCACATTTCTGAAACTATACCACCATTGTCACAATCTTATCCGTATGTTTATGAGTGCGTGTGTGTTAGTGTGTGAGTAGATGATTCTATATTTCATTGATCGCTCTATAGAATTGAAGAGGGATAAGACTTGACTGATAAACTACTGCTCATGTACTGAAGGATTGAAAATTATCTGCAGCCCAGAACTCTCCTCTGGGCTTCATGATATAGAGCTGTCCTAGTAATTTCTTTTTGCATGTTCATGGACATCTCAAAAGTAAGACATCCCAAATGAATGCTCTACCCTTTCCCTGCAAATCTGAATCTCCTTCAACAACCCAAATTTCATCAGGAGCCAAAAACCAAGACTTATAAGTCCCCTTAACTTTCTTCCTTTCTCTGACTCTCAACCCATCAATCAGGCTTTCAATTCAACCTCCCCATTAGTTCTCAAATCTGGCTCTTCCTACCAAGCCATGGGCCCATTTTCTTCCATCAGCTTCTTACAGTTTATCTCAGGGGTTATTACCACAACTTGTTAGAAGTAATTTGGCTCCCAGGCTCTTATTTTTGAACTGATTCATTCATTTCTTCATTCTTTCAAAAATATTATTTAAGCCCAATCACGTGCCAAGCACTTTGCTAAGTGCTACTCATTCAATGGAGAGCAAGAAAAATAAAGCCACTCCTTTGAGGGATTTCCAGAATAAACAATTACAGAAGTGGACATTTACAGTTAAGTATGACAAGTGAGAGGTCCAGTGTGCCAAGTAGCCTGTAGGAGTAGTGCTAGGTCCCAGACATGAACATCTTGGATGGTTGCCTGGAGAGTCATTCATTAGACTCCAAGTTTCATGAAGAAAGTGTACAGTTCTACCTTTATTACCTTGGAATGGATAAATGGGTACTTGATGACTAGATGTAGAATGAATCATAGCTAAGCTCAGATGTAAAGGATGAATAGGAGTTTGCCAGGTTGGAAAGGGGTGTGGTGGTCTAGACCTAAACCTCACAGGATATGAGATAAACTGAAGAAAGTTCTGTCTTGCTGGAACATTGTTTTTTGGAGAGGTCCAGGGAGGGGCAGCA